GACGATTGCCAATGATTGCAGCAACGAAATAATTCCGATACGATGAAAAATACTTACGATCGTTCGTGATAGTATGATCACGAGTGCAGAGGTGAAAATGTCAACTCCGGATATTTGTATTAGCATATTAGACGCTGATCCGAGGATTGCTAATCCTATGCCTATGTGAGATGGGGGAGGGGGGAGGGGAGCAAATAGAAGGGATCGGTCTACCCACCATAGTGCCCAGCATACACCATAGCCCTATTCTCCCTCTTCGCACCAGTACCCACAGCAATATATCCCATAGGCATAGGATTACCAAACCTCGGATCAGCGTCTAACATGCTAACACAAATATCCGGAGTTGACATTTTCTCCCCTGCACCCGTGATCATACCATCACAAACGATCCAAAGTATTTTCCTCGTATCGGAATAATTCGTAGCTGCTATACTCTCTACCGTCCCTCTCACACTTGCCTCTCCTTCGGAATAACAAGTGACCAGAGCCACCACAAATAATTCCGATCCTATTCTAGCCATATTAATCACTGGTTCCGCTCCATTTACCAAAGTGGTAGAAGAACTATTCAAACCTTTTCCATAACCGTTCTGAACATTATTGAGATTTCTTGTATTCTTCAACTTTCTCGATGTATTATCAGAAGCCCAAGGTGCAGTACCGGATTTATTATGTATAGAAATGTTTGCACCTTCAGGTAAAACAGCAGGAGAGACAACTGTTCTTCCTAAATCTTTTGGAGGTAAAACAAGTCTTGATGAAATGAACCAATTGAAAATACAAGCCATTGCGAAACGAACAAAAACAACACCTAGAATGACGGTGAGTGAAGTGTAAAGAAATAGTGAAGCTACGAAACAACCTGGAGTAATCTTATCTATCCTTCCGGCTAAATATCGATCTTGTATACATTTCACTGCATCTCGGGTTTCCGCTCGGTTGTAAAATAACATGGTCGCGTCTTTTCCGGAGGTGGTTTGGTTAGATAAGACTTGTCGGATGAGACTATCTACCGGATCGTTGACGATGGGTTTAGGGTTGGCGACGACATATGGTTCCAGGTTAAGTACGAATCCATCTATCACTAGGTAACTCTGGAGGGCGGCTACTTGAGCCCAAGAATATCCTTCTTCTAGTCCAGTGTTTTGGATTTGTAAAATATCGAAAGTGGTTTCTGTAGGAGCGGGAAGGGGACAGGATTGGAGAGTACCGGTCTCGTTGAAAGATGAAGATGCGGCGAATTTGCATAATGGAGTGGTGGCATATCGAAGGGTGTGTCCGGAACAAGAGGGGTAGTCGGTGATTGAACGAGTGAAAAGATTGGTGATATCTTGTCCTGGCATTTGTTTAGATAGAGCGTAGAAATCTACATCTTCTTGGGTGAGTGATGTGGAGATGTTAAACACCTTTCCGGAGATACTGAGTGTTACTGTATGTCAGCTGTAACATTCACAGGCAATTCTCATCCTACCCTACTGCGGTCACGCCTGGCAGCTCTTCCGTCGATATACAAGCACACCACACCATGATGAGCCAGCAAGAGCTCCATTTACGATGGACAGGAAGGAAGAAACATTGAAGGGCAAAAGTGAAGGAAAGTAAAATCAGCTCACACGGATCATTCCCTAACCTTCTGAACGCAGAATCACTCTCCCCAGCAGGACACAAAGCCCTTTGCAAACCCATCGTAGCGAAACCCACTATAGCGCCCAACAAAACTGCTATCCAACATAAAGTGATCTTCTCCCTCCATGCTTGTCTACTAGCCTTTTCTTTGATCCCAAACAACTTCAAAACCTGTGGAGGTGCCCAAAAAGTGGTAGCGTAAGACCATACGACCCACCAGTTGAGGTCGAATCTAGGTGAAAGCAAAGAAGCCGGTCCGTCATTCCCAAGATTACCACCGTTACCATGGGGTGGAAGTTGAGGTGGTGCGATGAGAGGAACAGGAGCTACATGTCTTTCAGGTTTCGTCAATGTTTTTCCACGACGAAGTGATGCTCCTCCTGTATTTGTCGGACCGCGAGTATGTTGACGAGTGGGGAGTGGTTTGGAGGAAGAATATGGTAGAGGGATATCCTCGAATTTCGTTGGCATATCTTAACGATTTGTCCTTGAGTGTTGAGGGGCGATGCAGAAACGGAGGGGGGAGTTCAGGGACACATGGATGGTCGTTCAGAAGAAGAAAGGGGTAGGCTACAGGGAATGAGGTATAGAGGGATCAATGCGGTGAAAGGTGAAGCGTCCAGAGCTCAACCTGAGATTTATATAAAGTTTATACGATGAGGAATGGTAGATGTACAATATGCAGTGCAGATATGAGATGAAAGATGAGGAACCAAGGTTATGAGGAGGAATAGTAAAAGGAGGTCAAAGAGGGGTAAGTAGGGAAAGGTGGTCTCCTTTGAGAAGACTGGTGGGAGGTGTAACCCGTACAACCCGCTAAATCGCTATAACACGAGTGGAAGTGAGAGTGGGGAAAAGAGGGTGAGTTATGAATTGTCTAATCCTATCCACGGGTCTCTGTAGGAGGACAAGGTGGATGAAGTGGATAGGAAGGAGGTAGTATAGGAGGAAAGACAAAGAGGGAGTGACGATGAAACGCGTCCTAAGGCGCGGAAAGGGGGAAATACTAATTCATTAACAAATTCATTTACTAATCTCATTAGTATTCTCTCTCAGTGGTGATGTGGCACTTTGATCAATGTGGCACTTTACCAAGATCTATCAAAAGTCGGGTCCGTGCATGCATTTCACACGGAGCATCCAAATTCTTCGTCATACACAGCCCTGGGCAGGTTTTCTGGGGGATGGCGATGCAGGAGAGAACCAAGGGAGCGTCTCTTAGACTACACCGCCTTGATTAACTGGTTGATCGCCCGCTCCAGGGGGCGATACACCCCAATCCCCTAATCCTCTCCCCTCCACCTCGAGGAAGGAAACACTATCGTACGTCGTAAGCAGAGGCATCGCCGCCAAATAACGCTTAGGATGGATTGGGAAAAATCTGAGTAAGCGAAGAGGAAGCCTACCGAGTCAATGTCAATGGAGAGGTGGGTAACACCTCGGGCTGACGGGGTCGGATCTCGAATCGTTGTGCTTCGATCCACCATCGTAAATGGAGAGGTGGGAAACCCCTCGGCCTGACGGGATCGGATCTCGAATCGTTGTCGACGGCGTGCAAATCTTTTTGCCTGGGGGATTATCAGAATCCAACAGTTACAAACCACTCCTATAGGCATCCCTCCCAAAAGCTTTAAATACTGGTCTCCTCTTAGGTGAATTCTATCTTCCACAACAACTTTGAGACCATCCAACAGACTATCATTTCATACACCCTCTACCAATCTGACATACTTTGCCAACTGAACATTCTTACACGACTCGACTACTATGAGTAATCATTCCAATGTCAAAGAGGAGGAAGATGACCGGATGACAATGTCTACCGATGGCTCGCCGCCTAGGACTCTGATGGGCTTCAGCCCTTTGAAACCGGTTACTTTTCCGACGGAGCCGACTCCATCAGACAGGGCTCCATCAGAGCGGACATCAGAGCCGGCTCCATCGGGGAGCTTACACGACTTGACCACTATGAGTCATCATTCCAATATCAAAAAGGAGGAGGAAGATGACCAGGTGACAGACTCTACCGATGGCTCGCCGCCTAGGACTCTGGTGGGCTTCGGCCCTTTGAAACCGGTTACTTTTCCGACGGAGCCGACTCCATCAGACAGGGCTCCATCAGAGCGGGCTCCATCGGCGAGGGCTCCATCAGAGAGGGCTCAATCAGAGGGAATGCTGACTAGAAGCCTCTCACCACTGAGCACACTCACACCAAGCCCCTCTCCCCCTCCGGCGTCGGTGCAGACGCCCAAAGGGAAGCGGTCCAAAAAAGCTACATCCACCGGTGGTGATGAAGCTTCAGACGAGTCAACTGGAGATACGGCCTCTCTTCCCCGACCTGGGAGCTCAAAGAGAAAACGTAGGGCTAGACAATCTCAACAGGACAACGTCTCTGATGATGATGTTCCTGGGCACAATCCGAATGGCAAGGGCTCTAGGTCCAATCAAAACAAATCGTGGCGTAATCATCACGCGGCGCGAAACAGGTTAAAGGGACAGCAGCAAACACCAATCCAGATCGAATGGACTGTGTATGGCTACAAGTCTGATGCTGATGCGGAACAAAATGACTCGGAAGACGACGAGAACGCCGTTATTTACATACTTGACGGCGACGCTGACGCTGAACAGAATGACTCGAAAAATGACGAGAAAGCCGTCATCCACATGCTTGAGAGCCAATTTTCGTTTATTCCCCGCACATGGATGAAGCGCGTGCAGGACGGAAATGATCCTACCAAAGGCCTATTAGCTGTTCATATAGCAAATTGGAAGGAATACACAGAACAGGTCCCGGAATTCGAAGAACTTCGTGTCCGTTGTGCTGAGGGTCAGACAGCTGAAGTTTCCAATGATGGTGTAAACTGGATCCCCATCACCACTGCAACCAATCGTAAATACCCTACTGTGGCCACCCTGGCAGCCCCCGTTGCTAGAACCGTGGTAGGGAAGTGTCACACAGACGGTACAATTTATAACAATAGATTCGGAACTTTCTATCAGGCCACCGCTAGGGCTCTGAAAAAGATTAACGTGCGGGATAGTGAGTTGGACAAGGCCACGCTTTGGGTGCTACAGACCTTAGCAGATTGTTCTGTAGATACAACTCTTAGAAGGGCAACTCTAGCGTCGGTTCTCAGCTGGACACATGTGGCTCAACAATCAAGAGCAGAGCAGCATCAGGATTCGGATTGAAGTTGAACCTTCATCAGTGAGTGGACAGAGGAAGAAGATAGTGGATGTTCGTACTTGCCTCGACTTATAAACATCGTGTGTCTGTGGAGAGAGACAGGAATCAGCATGCAGATGATGAGAGAGCATCCATTTAGCTATATTTCCAACTTCAGTGAAACCTGCCGAATCAGTCATCTCGTTGAATGGTGCTATACGTGTGATCACGTGGAAGTTCATGGCTACTTTGACCCCTTACCTTCCCTACCTACCTCACCTCTACTCCAACACTCCAACAGGTCTTCAATTTCTAAATCAATCAGATTAGAGGACGACCGGTCTAGCGAATTCTGAAGGTTCATCTTCTTCTTTCCCCTTTAGTGACTCCGTGTGACCCTGAAAAGGTGGAGCAATGCTTCTAACCCTTCTTTTCTCCATCATCAAGCATAGTAACCGGAGAGATAAGAGACAGGTAAGGTCGCGCGGCGGTTGCAGAGGGCAGGGAAGAAGCTCTGTCCAGGGAGGTGGCCACGGAGGTGAGTTGAAAGGCAGTACAAGCGGTTTACTACTCAAGAAACCAGATTGAACATACACAGCAGTGTTAGCCGATAGGATCGGCCCAGGACGGCCCAATCGACGTTGAAAATTTCCCCTTCCGTCGAATAATTCTCCGTTCACATTATCCTCTGAACTCTATTCGATAGTCTCTGGTTTGCTGCGTATGAGTGGAATGTGATAAGTATCGAGACATGTAGAATTGATGCATGTTCTTTTTCCCCTCTGCATTGTCATCTAATTATCAGCAAACAAGCAGTAACCACGTTAGTCCCACCACCGACAAGACGACGATGGTTTAGCGGAAAGTGTACAACGAGATGTGGTATGAGCTGAATGCTAACAACTGTTTTCCGATAGAATCGGTCCACGGCGGCCGAACTACTAGTAACTTCTTTCCCCCTCCGTCGAAAATTCCTCCGTTCTACTTATCCTCTGAATTTTATTCAATCGTCTCTGGACGATCACACCCGAGACGCTTCGAAGTGTCAGGTCTTCCGTACGTCACCTAACACGGGTAGTGGTGTCGAAGGATTGGTACTAGGAGTAAAACCAGACGGAGTAATTCCGGTTCCGAGAACCAGACACGGAGACGGGAACTGAAGATGTATTACGACTACTGGTATCTGTGATCCTGACAACTGGCCAGTGTCGTCCCATGATGAACCAGTTGAACCAATTGAGTGGGTAAGGCTAAGATCCGTAGATATAGGTGGTCCGGCAGTGGCGGGCCGATTCTATCGGCCAAATTCGGTCGGTCACGCTGACCCCTGTCACACTTCGAAGGCTCACCGCCTCCGTTCTTCATCTAACATAGCTTTGGAAAAGAATGAGGGGAGGAGGGAGGAGACCTACTAAGTCATCGTCAATGGAGAGATGGGAAGTTCCTCGGCCTCGCGGGATCGGGACTGGAATTACCCGCGAGTGAGCATCTCCGACGGTTGGATAGCTATGATAGATACTATAAAACCTACTTGCCAATATCTCTTTCCTGCTGAGTATATCTAACAGTTGAACACATACTTGGATAATAATCCGGGAGATCGAAGTAAACGTGAGTAATACCCCCTTGACAGACCACTCAAAGTTATATGCTTCGGCCCGTTACATATTGGGACAACAGTGATGAAGAGGAAGACACCCAAGGTGAAGAGACAGACTCTGAGAACAAGGGTGACCCGGAAGAGAGACCTACTAGTCAGGGTACTGAAAGTCGGAGTTTCCATTCGAGTATGATAGGCTTGACACAGGGACAACAAACATCCAGCTCACCTGGATCCGGCGATCCGTCTTTATTGGGGCCCATGAGCTTGGCTAGCCCTGAGGCTCCAGCAGCGGTCAGTATCCCTCATCCGTCACTGCAATTTCTTTCCTTTCCGTTTCGCAACAAGGGGCATCCCTGTTAGCCGATAGAATCGGGCCAGGACGGCCGAACCGCCGTTAGAATTACCCCTTCCGTCGAATATTTCTCCGTTCAACTTATCCTCTGAACTTTATTCGATCGTCTCTGGTTTTATGCGTGTGAGTGGAATGTGATAAGTATAGAGACATGTAGAATTGATGCATGCTCTTTTTCCCCTCTGTATTATCATCTAATTATAAGCGTTAACAGATTAACAGTCGGAAGACCACATACCTCTGTGTATAATATAACAAAGGCAAGTTTCCCATCTCTACTCTTCTCATAATGACCTCTGTGTCGTCTAAGATCTCTCTTGAGAACCACCCAAAGTTATCCCACGATCCAGCATCGTATGCTCCGTGGAGGAAGTCGATCGAGGTGTATCTACAGATAGGTGACGTGTGGAATATTGTCACAGGTAATGATACCGAACCTGGTCGCATAGGGGTGAGATCGGCAGCTGAGAGGGCGGGATCAGTACCTCCTACCACGCCCGTCGAAGGGCAAGTGGTTGGTAGAAGGATTACTGGAGAAGAGTGGAAGGAATGGGAAAAGTGGCAAGCGAGGGAGAATAAAGCGCAGGGGATGATCAAGGGAACAGTGTCGGATGCTGTGATGCTTGATATATCTGAGAAGATGTCAGCTAAAGCAATGTGGGACTACTGCGTAGCCCTGCATGTAACAGCGACAATCGAGAATCAAAGGAATGTCTGTCAAGCTTTGTTTAGCTATGACTTAAGGGACGATGCGACGGCCGAAGAAATGGCTAAGCATGTAGAGGATTTCTCGAAGACGATGTCCGAAGCGAGATTGGTAGGGTTGAAGTTTGACTCACAGGAACGAGCTGGGTTATTCCTCAATACCATTCTAGCACCATCCTTCAGGATCATCCAGATCGAAGTAACATCCCTCATAGCAGAGGAAAGAACTTGGGAAAAGGTTTTATCGATCTTCAATAAAGAAACGGCGAGACGTAAAGCGCGCCCTGTTGGTAGGACCAATAGGAAGGGATTCGCGATGTTCGTCGAAGGAAATAAAGGAATGAGGGTGAACCGAGATAATATCTCTGATGGTCAGCCCAGGAAAGAAACCAGAAAGTGTTATAACTGTGACACTGTAGGACATCTAGCGAAGGACTGTCGTAAACCTAAAAGAGAGGATACGAACAGGAAAGAAAACGCAGATGTAAAGGATGGAGGTAAAAAGAAATGGAGAAATAATAATAAGAATAAGAAAGGACGTACGGTCTCGAAGGATGAGAACCAGTCCAAGGATAACTCCAAAACCTCCTTGATGTATTCGTCATTGGATGGTGAACATGAGGCGTGGGCCGGGATGGCCATGTCGACAGAATCATGGTTCGATGATGACGAAGGGTACACGAGTAACATCGTGTGGCCCGAAGAAATTGAAAACCCGTGGATTGAGGATAAGAATAATGAGTGGGTGGGATTAGCTACAGAGTCTAATGATGTAAGCCACACTCGTGTAATCCCCACCTGGGTAGTGGACAGTGGTGCTACTCACCATATAACTCCTCACAGGTCGATAATGACGAACATTAAAAGACTAGTAGAACCAAGAGTGTTCGGACTAGCATCTGGCAAGTCAATGACGGCTTGGGAAACAGGTGACATTAACCTCGAACTAGATTCAGGACAGAAAATGGTACTGAAAGATGTACATCACGTCCCCACAGCAAAGATAAGTCTTCTCTCTCTCTCGAAATTACTCTCATGGGGATGGAAGGCGAACCTAAGCAGCAGTGGTGGATGGATAGGTAAAGGTAAAGAGAAACTAGGTTTGAGGAAACATGACTCACTATGGTCGGTACGATTCGGTAGAGCAATGTCTGCCGCGATGATCGTGATATCGACACCGAAGGCGACTTCACCACTTGAATCTGAGCATCAGCGACTCGGACATATAGGTGTAGATAAACTAAAGAGTCTAGGTAGACAGGGACTATTGAAGAAGGACTGGGACACTTACAAGAACGATCCCTTTACAACCGATAAATGTCCCGCCTGTATGCAGGCCAAGATAACACGTCTACCGAAGAATAAAGAAGCACCAATGTTAAAAGGAGATGGTGAAGGAGTAGGAATGGATGTCGATATTGCTGGCCCGTTCGTCCGGCGATAAAAGGTGAACGATATTTCTTCGTTGGTGTAGAAAGGGCGAGTCGAATTGTGTTCGCCGTACCGATAACGACGAAGAACGAATCGTCAGATATCGTTCGACAGTGTATCTCGAAATTAGAAAAACAGCTTGGTGAAAGGGTGAGGGTGATTAGGTCTGATGGGGGAGGTGAATTCGATAGCCTCGATATGAGGGAATTCTACCTATCAGCAGGGATCAACCACTACATCACACCAAGATACACACCAGAATTAAATGGAGTGGCGGAAAGAATGATACGTACCTTGAAGGGGATGGTATCAACGATGTTATTCGACTCAGGACTACCGAACGAATATTGGTCCTATGCTGTCAGATACGCCGCCATTATAATTATGAAAACCTCGATTGGTGTCAGTGGTAAATCAGGCTGGACATCACTCACAGGAAGAGACACGAACTTAGATAGCGTGTGGAGATTTGGTGAACGATGTTTCGTTCAGATACCAAGAGAGATAAGGCTGAATTCGAACTTCACGATACCTAGGGGTTCGTCAGCCATTATACTAGGTCAAGATGAGGGTGTGAGCGGTTGGATCGTTAGAATGGACGGATCGGGACGAATCGAACACTCACGAGACGTTCGTCGCTCGACAGGACGAATGGTGGCTACTAGAGAGTCGCCAGATGTCATCCAAACCCCTCTTGACGCCATCGAAGTGGACCTAGACCCCGTCGTCAACGAAGAAATTTTCCCTGACGACCGCTCAGAAAGTGGCGAACAGGAAAATATCGATAATGAACAAGGAAATGATGTCGATAGAGACAACTCACCTAATACAGGCCCACAACCTACTGAAAGACGACGAGGACAGGGCATTTGGGGAGGAAATTGGATCTATGAGAACGATAACGTCGAAAATGAGAGAAATGATGAGGAAGGAAGAAATGATGGGGATGAGGGGATCCTGACGACTCGTCATGGACGAATTATCCGACCCCCCCATCGTTTTGCAGGCCTAACAGACTCGTTTCTGGAGTTCGGTCGCGAGCCTAATAGGTTAGTCGCACTCGCCTCTATCGCAGGTATCGAAAGTGACACTTCTCTCATTGATCCTGTCTCTCCTGAAGAAGCAGTAAACGGCCCAGATGGTGAAAAATGGCTGGAATCCATGGAGAAAGAGATATCTAACATCGAATCTAAAGAAACATGGGTGGAGACGGTACTTCCACCGGGTCGTAAAGCCATAGGCTGTAAATGGGTATTCAAAGTGAAGACAGATTCAGAAGGAAACCTACTAAAGTATAAATCCAGACTGGTAGCTCAAGGATTCTCACAGGTACCAGGCGTCGATTACGAAGAGACATTCGCACCTGTCGGTAGATCGGGGTCATTACGAATACTCTTGACTATAGCGGCCACCGAAGATCTCGAAATTCGTCAGGCCGATGTCGAAGGAGCGTATTTAAATGGTAAACTCGATGTCGAAATTTATATGAAGTATCCTAAGGGGATAAAACCGAAACCTGGATGTAATACCTTGAAGTTAGTCAAGTCTCTTTACGGGTTAAAGCAATCTGGTAGAACATGGTGGATAGAACTCGGGGAAGGATTATCTCACCTAGGTTTTTCAAGGATCGAGTCAGATTGGGGTCTTTACTACAGACCAGAAGGGAAAGTCGAAGGAAAGGGAGCAGCAATACTGCTAGCCTATGTCGATGATCTGGTATTAGCCACGAAATTGAAGGAAGAAGCAAAAGAAATTTTCGATGGGCTAGGAAAAAGGTGGATAATAACCGACCTGGGGGAGATAAGTACTATCTTAGGTATGAAGGTAACAAGGAACAGAGAAGAAAAGACAATATGGTTAAACCAACCAGCATATATTGATAAGATAGTCCAGAAGTTTCCAGAAAATGACTTACATCGAGATCGAAAAACGCTGTTACCTCTTACTGTGAAAAATCCTTCGATGTCGGAAGTGGAGAGTGAAATTCGACCATTTCAAGAATTAATAGGATGTCTACAGTGGTTAGCCACATGTACTCGACCCGATATATCTTATGCAGCTTCGTACCTTGCTAGGTACCTCACCAAACCGACGAAGAAAGTATGGGAAGAAGGGATAATGGTAATTACCTACCTTCGGTCCACTCGTTTACATGGTATTCGTCTCGGTGGCGAGGCTAGCGATCTAGCAGGATGGGTTGATGCCGATTGGGCAGGTTGTAAAGACACACGATGATCAACTACAGGCTGGATATTCATGATGAACAACTCACCGATAACCTGGAGTTCAAAAAGGCAAGCTACGGTATCGTCGTCGACAGTCGAAGCAGAATACATCGCGATGGCTGAAGCAGCGAAGGAGGCTCAGTGGTTGAGAGGATTACTGAGGGAGATAGGCTACGATCAGCTAAATCCTACTATATTAAATTGCGATAACCAAGGATCGATATCACTGGCGAGGAAACCTGGTACTCACCAGAGAACAAAACATATCGATATTCGACATCATGCTCTTCGAGATCTAGTCAGTAATAAAGTTATTGAACTAGCATACGTCAGCACTGTCTATCAGAGAGCAGATGTACTTACGAAAGCTTTAGGTGGACCAGTACACTCGGTGAATATGTCAGCGATACGTGTAGAACCACCGAAGAAGAAAAACACTGGTTCAGTATACGTGACATTAGATGATGACGAAATCATCGATTACGATTATTCTGATTTCGAGGATCTAGGAGATCTGTCAGGTGGTACAGAGAACGAAGTGGTACCAGAAAGAGAAGTAGTACCAGGAAGAGAAGTGTGGGTGGAAGGAACTTCAGAGAAACCCACCGAAGGAAAAGTTCTCGTGAGCCAAAATGTAAAATTTTCAGGTGTACCTAAGAATGTGAGTAATTCGAAGGTAGGTCAAAAACCACCGGTAGAACCTAGAGTCATTAGAGAGATGAAAGAGAAGAATAAGAAAAGAGATAAGATGATACATATTGGAGGTTTTATTCAACCTCCATCGTCAAATCCACGAATTTCGGGAACTTGGGCTGGTAACCAGCGACTTTATAACCACCGAGGACAGCCTCGATCTTCTCGTGGAGAGAGTCAACAGTATCAACGATCTCTTGTACCCTCGCATGAGTACCACCATCTTCCAATAGAGCGTTCCCTAGCAAAAGGAAATGTTTATCGAGATTCGACTTTAAGATCCCCAACTCAAATTGTACCTTCTGAGAAAGATCTCAAACTCAATAAAGTTCATGACATGACGAGCAGTAATAAACTTACAGTCGGGAGGATTGCTGGGGAGCAACCTAAGAGCAGGACTATCAGATGGTCCGGGAACCGAAGGAGTAGCGACAGCCGCGAGAACAGCAGGAGAAATTTGGGACATGACGATTTTGCTGCTGATGATAGATATCGTCAGCCAGGTACTCGAAGCAATTTCATCGATTCTCGGGATCCTACTAGCAAACCTGAAATTTTAAGAAGCAGACAGGATAAAGGGAAGTTCAGAGAGTCAGAAATGAGAGATAGAAGTGGAGAAAGACGAAAGATGGACATACCGATAATTGGAGATAAAAGTGATGAAGTAAAAGGAAAGATAGAGAAGAGTCAGTCGTCGGTACCGGTGAGTGGTAGCCACGTGTCAGAGCGGGGCCCCACAGAAATTCATTTCACGATTTCACCTACCACTACTACCACACACATAACACTCAATATTTCATCATTACTACCTTCTACACCACCACAAACCTCGCCGTCGCCATCAATAAATCGTCCGGGACTACTGCATAGTCGTGCATTGTCCCGTGGGGGAGTGTTAGCCGATAGAATCGGGCCAGGACGGCCGAACCGCCGTTAGAATTACCCCTTCCGTCGAATATTTCTCCGTTCAACTTATCCTCTGAACTTTATTCGATCGTCTCTGGTTTTATGCGTGTGAGTGGAATGTGATAAGTATAGAGACATGTAGAATTGATGCATGCTCTTTTTCCCCTCTGTATTATCATCTAATTATAAGCGTTAACAATCCCACTGAAGTGCTTGATGCCTTCACCAAGTGGACCATGGAGTGGGAAGATTACTTTAATCAGAAGGAGCGAATGGATATCAGCCTATCGAAGGACGGAACCGAGCTGAACGGTCCTGGGGGGGTTCCGCCGTTTCCCCTGAAAGGGAATGCGTTCCGCATCACAAGTGCACAGGCTGAAAGCATCAAACGCCCCCTACTTCCAAGCTCAATCTTTGTGGACTTGATGAAAGCAACATTCAAGTGTGTTTATTGCGCCCCCACTGCTGGAGATAGGATCAGCCCTGGTGGAAGTACAACTAAGGCTCCCCATAGTCCACAGTCTAGGTTAGTATACACAGGCCGTCTAGTGAAATTATTCTATACGGGTGTGCTACGTCTTGAATCACAACAAGCCGAATCCAGTGCGGAAGCAGAAAGAGGTGATCCATTCACCACTGCGGAAGCCGCAGTCTTCACCTTGTTCAGGCAGGCAAGTGCTGCAGGGATCAGGTTTGGGAGCCGTATGATTATGAGGCGTGAGAGCCCACAAAGACAAACAAGCAAGAAGAAGACCATCAGTGGTAAGGATGCTGACTCCCAGGCACTCCTTTACAACTTTTGGGCAGACCCTTCCAAGCACTAAACCCCGTGACCCTTCTCTTGGTTGGATCATATAAGCTGAGTACGTGTGTTGAAGCTTCTCTCCTTGTTTTTTCAACCAGGTGTTGGTTGACTGACGGAAGGAAGTTCAAAGTGTTACGGGGAATAGTGTGACCAGCGGAATGTGTGACCCATGGATGAATCCATATTGTTTTGACTGCACTTCTCCCAGGCTCAATCCACGTGCTTGATTACTGCATAGGATTCACTCAGAAGGACAGGCCAAAGATACATATTCCTCTTCTCATTTGACCTCTTGGTGAGTATGAATGGGTGCATTTTTCACCCACTGTACGCCGGTCAAATCGGAGTGCCAAGTCATCCTCACAGTCTCCAACATTGCCCTTGAAGATGGTGTGACATTCTAGATCAGTGGTGCTTGATGAGTAATGATTCTTCGGTGGGTCATGGTCATGACTCTATAACCCTTCGGAACTGCAAGGACCTTCAATGTGTCACACTAGCCCCATGACGCTTCAACGCTTCAGGGCTTCCGTGCGTCATGGTTGATGTAGGACATATACCACAGTGATCTGTAGGCCAAAAACAGATACATGTTTGGTGCCATACGGAAGACGTGTCACTTTGAAGTGTCATAGGTCTGACCGTGCCAGACCCAAGATGTGACCCATCGGAAGAAAGCTCACCATCTGATCAGAAACACTTGCAGGTCCAAAACGACTTTAGAGGTGTAGCAGGATGGTCCTCATCTGTCCTGTGTCCAGAAGAGGAGGGAGTAATTGCTGCTCTTGTTCTACTGACACACGACGAGGGACGTTTTCAGGGTGGGGAAGATGAATGGAGCGATGTCGGTCATTGAGGGTGGTTCGGGGGACTTTGAAACGATCTGACACGCTTTGGTAACTCTCGCAGGGGTGCTGATTCTTGTATTGAAAAGTCAAGTCACATACCTTTGACTGACAATCATAGCGATATTCATGGGATTAGGGGGGCCTTGGGTTCACAGGAGTTGTTTGACAAACCAGCTGGCAAGTACACCTGTATCACTTTTGGTCATGAGGTTCTTCATTTGGAGGATGATTGAATGTTTGTAGGACATGCGTTCAAGTGTCTCTTAGTGTCATGACCACGTGCGTCGAAGTTGCTAGTTCGGGTAATATCCAGTTACCCGCCACCGATAAACACTACCAGCCACCCTTATCTACATTACACTCTCATTCCATGTACATAAGGTAGTGCATAGCTTAGAACAACTTCGACGAATGTATCTTGTCTGTCTCAACATACAAGTTCTCTTATACATTTGCCAAAACTTATTATTCACTCCTCGAACTATTTGCTTCGATCCTCGTATCCTCTTACAACTAGTTCAAGTCCCTACAAGTAGCTCATCACCCTCGACGCAGATCCTTCGACCTTCGGTCTGGTCTTGACATAAGATACATTCGTCGAAGTTGTTCTAAGCTATGCACTACCTTATGTACATGGAATGAGAGTGTAATGTAGATAAGGGTGGCTGGTAGTGTTTATCGGTGGCGGGTAACTGGATATTACCCGAACTAGCAACTTCGACGCACGTGGTCATGACACTAAGAGACACTTGAACGCATGTCCTACAAACATTCAATCATCCTCCAAATGAAGAACCTCATGACCAAAAGTGATACAGGTGTACTTGCCAGCGCCATTCTGGTGGTGGTGGACCGTTTCACCAAAATGGCTGTTTTTATTCCCACAGTTACCACGCTGACGGCAGAGCAGTTTGCCGACCTTTTCATCGAGAAGGTCTACACTCGTTTCGGTTTACCCGACACCATCACTTCCGATAGAGGAAGCATCTTCGTTTCCAGATTTTGGAAGGCAATATCCACCTACTTGAGGGTCGATCTTCGATATTCGACGGCCTTCCACCCACAGACTGACGGCCAGACAGAGCGGGTTAATCAATGGTTGGAACAGTACCTTCGGATGTACACTAACTTGGAACAGGATGACTGGGCCGTCTTATTACATCACGCTGAGCTCTGTTACAACACCACTCCTCATTCCTCCACCGGTATGGCGCCGCTGACGGCTTACACAGGTCGGACTTACAGAACCGACCTCCTCACACCTGCACTCGATGCAAACACACCATTACCATCTCCCCAGGCACATCACCGAATGCAGGCGTTCGACACACTGCATAAGCTCCTTCGCGATTCCATCCAGAAGGCTCAGTCTGCGCAGAAGGCTGCGTATGACAAGCACCGCAGGGAACCGCGCTTCGAGGTGGGGGACTTGGTCTGGCTCAGTACCAGGAACCTGCGAAGTCTTCGACCTTCGAAGAAATTGGACCACCGAAAAGTTGGACCATTTAAGTTGATTGAGAAGATCAACGACAATGCCTGGAGGCTCGAACTTCCGGATTCGATGCTAAAAAACAGGATTCATCCCGTATTCAACGTGTCCCTACTCTCCCCGGCCAAGGGCAGCGTCTCCCCGCCCTCAGAACCATTGGTCGCCCCAATAGAACAGGTAGTCGACGAAGAGGAGACGTACGAGGTGGATTACCTGGTGGGAAGGCGAAAGGCCAAGGTTCGAGGACAAACGGACTTGGAAGATCAGGTCAAGGTCAAATGGGTGGGATACCCGGAGGAGGAAGCGACGTGGCAGCCCACGTCTACATTAGAAAACGACTCAAATTTCCCACGTTGGGTGGCCGAGCTGACAAGCAGATTGAACTCCGAACCCAATGGTTCGACCGCCCCACTGGCTCCACGCCGTCGTACGCTTCCTCAGCGTTTCACTAAATAGAGTTCCCATCACAATTCATACTTCCAGAGAACATTCACAATCTTTACACACTGTCATTACGATACACAGTCCTTACCCCTACATCTTATACTGTACAACGAATTCACCTACGTCCTGTCCCCCTCTTGCTCCTTTCCAACCTACTCTTCCTCGCCTCCCTAGTCGACGGACCCGCGTGCTCTTCATCTTCATCGCCGGAAGTCTCGAAGTCGGGTTCCCACTCTTCCTCTCCTTCGTCGATGGGCGCCGTTACCAAGGACGATCGAAGGATAGCCTTCGACCTTCGAGGACGCAAAACCCGTTGGACCTCTTCTTGCTCTTCCTCCTCATCCTCCACCGCGCGTTTTCGCTTCCTTTCCACAGCCTTACCCTTCTTTCCCTTCTGTGGCCGGACAGCAGCTTTCTCCTTCCCTTTTCCCTTAGTCGAACGGTCATGTTCGACGAACGCATCGTCTGATTCGAAGTCCGAAGGATTAGAGGGGCGGTCCTCATCAGTGTACTCGGAGTCGGACGGATGCCGGACAGGACGATACCTCCAATGATAACGAGGGATGGGAAGTCTCTTCTTGGACACAGCGAGGACGTCGTCCGCTTCTTCGAACATTCCCGGCACCATTTTGGAGCGATCAAGGTCCTAAGAGTTAGTTTTCGGCGGTCGAACGGTTCAGTTCGATGCACGAACCTTAGCCATTCTAGTTAATTCCTTCAAACCCGTCACCCCCAGCTGAGAAAGGGAGGTATTCCCATCGTCTACCATTGACACTAGGATCCCCCCAAGAACTTGGAACCCCCGAAACATGGACCGATGGAACGGATAGGTGATTTTCGGCGCTGACCGGGAGCCATGTTTGCCGGACGAAGCGAGGGAACAGGGACGAGCGGTTAGTTGGCAATAGTAACATCTGGTGGTTATCGAACATTAGGATTCGAGGAGGAAACGACTTACTTGCCACCAATATGGATCGAATCGTCCGGGGCGACGAATAAGGGGGCCATACACGACATCTTCTTCACGGTGGGGGGGAGGAACTTGGTCTGGATGTTGCGACACCCATCACAGCGATCTTCGACATCCACTTCTGCTAGCACGAGGTCTGGATCTTTTAGCAGAGCCAGCATACCGGTCCACAGAGCCTGAACGTTTGAGGCACGGTTTCCAATGTTCTTCTGAAGATATGTGGCGAGGATCTTCGAACAAATCAGTTCGATCATCAATTCCGTTACAGATTACACACCAATTGACCCCTGGACAGGTGAGGAGACGCTCGAACCCGTACGTCATGGAAGCGAGTGACGGTCGAACCGTGAGACACGGTTACAGTCCCATTGCTGACCGTCACCGAAGAGGGCGAAATCTCCACACGATCGCCAACAGCGACTTTCTTGCTCTTGGCGGAGGCGACATACGGAGTGAGATACCCCACTTCTTGCAGCTCGTCGCTGGATTGCCGCGCGGGAGTAGCGGGAGGAACAGGATTGGTCACAATTCGAGACTGTGCTAGCCTCGAACCCAGGTCTTCGATCCCGGGAAACTCGTCTGACGATCAGTTCTACGCCAAGATTCCAAAAAAAAAAAAAAGGAAAACCTACTTGATTCCGGTTCTACCGGGTTTTCCTGTTCATCTTCTGCACTCAATTCGTCCTGCTCCAGTTCGTCCTCCATTGGGACGTCCTCTTCCGGCTCCAGATATTCATCATCGTCAGCAGAGTCAACTACGCGGTCCCTCAAACGCAGAAGAAGGGCGGCGGTTTGTCGAGTGGCTGACGACGGGGTTGCGACGGGGATCGAAGAGTTCTGTTCGAGGGCGGAGGACTCTCGCTTGACGACGTGGGGACGGAGTAGCAAGGTGATCTCTGAGTTTGGAGAAGGAGATTTGGTCATGGTGTGTAAGGATGGAATGTGTGTGTGTGAGAGTAAGGAGTTTAGAAGAAGAATGAGTAAAGGACAAATGGACGAAGGAAATAGAGGACGTAAACATGTTGGAAAAGTCAATGAACGTAGAAAACAGGTCAACGCGGGAATCGATGGAATAAGGGTTTGTGAGGATTGATGGAATGGTTTTGATGGGATCGGATTTAAGGGTTCGAGGACGAAAGGATTAGATGCGATCATCGTGGACGATGATTTTTTGGAAGGGAGGATACTGTCATGACCACGTGCGTCGAAGTTGCTAGTTCGGGTAATATCCAGTTACCCGCCACCGATAAACACTACCAGCCACCCTTATCTACATTACACTCTCATTCCATGTACATAAGGTATGTCACGGCCGTCGAGCAACTTCTTCCTTATAGACCGACGGTCGACGAACCTCGGCTAACTTCACACTTCTGAGTCGATGTCTCACCCAACCAGGAGGGCGCAGACGTCGAAAGGAGTGTAACTACGGCGTACTTCGGCGTAGTTACTCTAACTAAGGCTTTGTTCTATTGATGGCGATGTATCTCGATGTATAGCTATCTCTATTTGTCTTTTACTACTGACAACAATCAAGGATCGCTGAAGAACTTCAGCGATCTTCTCAGCTAATATTATCTACTCCTCCTAGACGTTCATCCAACCCTCTCGCGCTTTGACGTACTTCAACGCACTTCCTAGACGTTCATCCAACCCTCTCGCGCTTTGACGTACTTCAACGCACTTCGTCCAACTTCCCCGAGCCCTCGGCCATCCTCTTCCTCCTTCGACTAACTCCGCCTAACATCGCCGCACTTCTGCTCCCATTGTCCCTACTTAGCCTAACTCCGTCTAACTTCGCCGTACTTCTGCTCCCATTGTCCCTACTTAGCCTAACTCCGTCTAACTTCGCCGTACTTGGTGTCAGAAGTCCTGAGTTACGTGTAGAGTAAAGAGGTTAAGGCGTGATGGGGTTTTGATGGCCAAAGGAGGGTCATTGTTGGTGGAGTAATCGAGGTGTCACGACGTAGTTCGTGACAGTCGCCCCCTTCTTTAGCCGCGAACGTCCTCGTGAGCGATTACACCTCTGTCGTGGCAAGAGAACTTAGCAGCGTAGTACCCCCATTCTCTCCCTCCCCACGACCAACCTTCACTCTTCTGTTCTTTGCGCCGCACTTCGTAGTTGGGCCTCCTTTCACTCCAGAACCCGACAATGAGACTCCCCTAACTTCGTCGAGGTTTGCCGTAAGAAGCCCTGTGTCTTTTGTAGGTGAGACACGCTTCCTGAATGGCAGCCGAACAACACCGTAGTTTGTCGAAGTAACCCTCGTTTATATTGAGATGAGACACTATAGCGTGGGAATTTTGATCGTCCCTGCGATGCCTTTTGTTGATGAAACGCGAAGGATGCCGCATGTTGACGACGGAGGGGTAACTCGAGTTATACTAAGTACTGAGCAGTTCATCGTCCTTCTCTCTCTTCCCCATCTGTTTTCAAAACTTTCTATCTCTCGCGCTTAGAAAACGGATTTGTTACCTCGACGTATCATCTTTTATTTCTTTAAGTATTTTTAACGTCATGGTCCCTCCTACTCCCACCTCTAACCCTTTCGCCGCCATGAGGAACTTTGGTGGTATGGTGTCGTCTGCTCGTGAGTCTTTCCCCTGTACTTACCGCACTTCGCCGCACTTGGCTGACGTTCAGTTTCCTTCGGTGATAGGTCTCGCCAAGTTTCCTCTCTTGGCCTCGGCACTCTTTCCCTGGGCGAACCGTCTGGCGCCGCCTCGCCTCCTCGCTCTGCTTCTCCTCCCGCCAGTCCTCCTGCCGGTTCTCCCGCCGGTTCTCCCTCCGCTTCTCCTCCTGCCGCCAGCCCTCGCCGCAGGACGCCCGCCTTTCGTCCTGGTGAGTCTCCGTCCTCCTCCGACCAGGAGTCGCTCAGTGGTTCGGAGTCGGACGATCAGTCAGACTTCGAAGGAAAAGGGGGTGATTATAGTGATGAGGAGGATCAGGATCGTGAGGGTGAAACTGAGTTAGAAGATATCTCAGATGATGATATGGTGGCGGTTAGTGTAGAGGATAACAATGTTGATAGTCCTGAGTGTGAGTTCTTCGCCCACCCTCCTATACCTTCGCCGAACTTGGCCTTGTTTATCTGTTCTTTAGCTCTCCAAGACATTGCTAACTCGCAGCCGCTCCTGCCCCTCCCCCTGCTCAAATTGTGGGCCAGAAACGACGCCGTTCCCTCTCCTCTTCTTCTTCTTCCTCTTCTTCTTCTTCCTCTTCTTCTTCCTCTTCCGGGGTTCTCCCCCCCCCCGACGCCATCGCCGCCGCCGCCGCTGCTGCCGCCGCCCGCTCTGCCGCCGCCGCCGCCGCCGCCGGTCCTGCTGCCGGTCCTGCTGCCGCCCCCCCCGTCGCTGCTCCCCCCCCTTCTCCCAGAGGGGAGCCTTCGCCCAAACGGGTGAAGAGATCACTGCGGGAAGAAGAGTACTTGTGGGAGAAGATGAAGTCCGAGCCTGGTCGTTGGATCGCGGTTGGTGTTGACGAAGCGTGTGATCGTTGCCGGTGAGTCCACTTATTCGTACTACGCCGAAGTTACTCCTGCTAATTAGTAGACGTGAGATTATCACGTATAATCGTCCAAACTGGCCCTGCCTCAAGGCAGTCAGGCCACACAACAAGGCCCTCCGTTGTGCTTCATGCACGTCTGGCCCCTGCTCCTTCTGTCCCGTTTCCTCTGCCCGGGACATCCCGCCCCGTCCCTTCGACGCTTCTCCTCTCCCCCCTCCCCAGACTCCAGCGTCTGTCCCCCGTTCGCGGGTACCGTCTTCGTCTCTCCGGTCGGTTCGCCGTACTTCGCCGGACCTCCGCCCGTCGCCTCCGTCGCCGTCGCCCTTCGCTCCTGTGGCCGGCCCATCACGTCTCCCGGCTGTTCCTCCTTCGTCTTCTCGCCGTCCTTCGGCCTCTGCTCCTTCGGCCTCCCGTCCTTCGGCCTCTCGTCCTTCGGCGCCACGTCCGTCCTCTCCAGTGGTAGCTTCTCCTCCGGCTCACAGCACCCGAAGTCGGCGTCCTTCTGTTCCTCCGGCCACTTCGGCGGCCCCTCCCGTCACCCCTCCCTCTGCTTCCCAGAAGACACCGAAGTCTTCTTTAAAGAAATCAAAAGGGAAATCTAAAGGGAAGGAGGTTGCCTTCAATGATGGTGATGTGGAAAGTGAAGATACTCAGCGTGCTGGTCCCTCTGCTCCCCGGTTGTCCCTCGTCCACCCTCGTATCTCCCTGGACGTCCGTATTCCTGAGGACGAAAAGGAATTCGCCACTTATCGTTCTCTCGTCCTCGGTCTCACTACTCAGCTCGAGGCCGCCCGAAATGATACATCTCTCCTGCTTGACTTCTCTTCTCGTCAAGCTAACGCTTTAAACAATCTCACTGCGGCGTTAGTAGATGCAGTCAACACTGGGGCTCTGGACGACGGAGCAAGGACGAGGTTAGCGGACGTCTCTCGCCGAAGCCTTACTGAGATAGCCGATGTTCGCCGAAGACTGTTCGACACCCCCTTCCTAGTCACTCCTATGGCGTATGAGCCACCACCGTCCCTTGACTGGTTAGGTCGCCGTAGTAGTTCTCGTGTCCCAGCTTCCGCCCAGACTGCTCTCGACCTCCTCAGTCTTCCCTTCGAGTGTCTACGGACCATACGTTCTCTGTGGAGGACTCCAAGCATGCAAGCTGCTCGAGATGTCCAGGACTTCGGTGACTTCTTCGGGGCTATGAATCGGGCATGGAATGCTTCTCTCTCTACTGCGTTCCCGTCTGAGACTCTCGATCTACCTTCGGTCATCGGTAGCCTCCACACCAATCCCGCGGGACCGAGTAGATCGAAGGAGAAAGGAAAAGGAAAAGGTAAGGGTAAGAGTAAGGACAAGTGAGCGGTACGTAGCTGTAATCCTATGTTGTATGCAGTACGTTCTATCTCCTAGCCCTTCGCAGTCGCCCTTCCTTCGGCTTAGTAGGGTGAAGTTCGTGGAACTTCGCCAATATGTCGTCAGCTCCATCGACGTTCTCCACTGGTTCCCATGATACTGAGTCGTCTGTTCCTTCGTAACCTAACCACTCCACCAAGTACTCTAACTTTCCTGACCTCTTATTTACTCTAGAGTCTACAATGTCTTTTACCTCCCACGATTCCCCTACATTATCTACCTCTACTGGGCCAGGTGGTTCAGCTTGCTGACCAGGGAATACTGGAGGATGATAAGGACGGAGCAAGGAGACATGGAATACGTCATGGATACCTGCCATCGTTCCTGGTAGTTCCAATTTACAAGCATGAGAACCCACCTGCCGTACTACTTTGTACGGCCCACTTTGCTTAACATCTAACTTCTTCATTGGTCTCTTCGTCTTAATATTCTCTAACGACAGCATCACTAGGTCTCCTTCCACGAAGTTCGGCGTAGCCCGGTGTTTCCTATTGTATCCTTCGGCGTACCTCTCATTAGCTTTCTCAATTCCTTCGATACAATCCTTGTGTATTTCAGTCAAGTCTTTTACCATCACCGTAGCAGCGGGTACTTCGACTTCACTGGCCTTGATCTCTTCCGCCCACCGAGGATGATATCCATAGTTCGCATAGAATGGTGTCTTATTAATCGCGGAATGGTGGGTGTTATTGTAGGCGAAACTAGCTCGAGCTAGTAGCTTCGACCAATCGTTCTGCTGATAAGAAGTGAAGATTCGAAGGTAGAGCTCTAAGGATTGGTTGGTTCGTTCAGTCTGTCCATCAGTCTGCGGATGATATGCAGTAGAGAGATGTAGTCTTATCCCGAGACTATCGGTCAAGTTCTTCCAAAATTTCGAGGTAAACTTCGATCCCCTGTCAGACACTATGTTCTCTGGTAGCCCATGCTGAGCTACCACATAGTCCATTATCAACTCGGATAGGCCAGCTGCGGTTAACTTCGTCGTAGTCGGGATAAAAATGGCCCATTT